TGCACTTTGGGACCCTGCACCCGCGTGGGAGACCCGGAAGAGGCTCCTGGCTTCGGATCGGCATAGTATCGGCCGTTGCGCTCACTTGGGGAGTGAATCATCGGACGGAAGATCTTCCTCTCTGTCTCTCCTCTCTGTATATCTGCCTTTCCAATAAAAAAATAATAAAAATAAATCTTTAAAAAAAAAAAAAGAAACCTACATTTGTACTAAATTCAGCAATAATCGGGGCCTGTGTGACATTATTGAGAGAGATGACAAAAATCCGGACACAGTGGACAAATACATCTCGGATTTGAAGATGGGAGTTTATCATGAAATTATTTTTTTTCTCCTGAAAAAAGTTTGTAATTACAACTTTTTGATCAGGCTCACTAATTTGGAAGCTATCAGCGGCCACTCCTATACCAACCACCAGAAAAAGGAGTCTACACACTTCATCCACTACATCTAAGGCTACTGTTTTGCTGAATGCTTGGGTGTGGTAAGACCCAGCACACAAGTTACACCGATAGACAGCAAAGGACAAAAAGAAGTGTCCGTTCCTTTGTGAGTGCTTTGACAAGATCTTGAGGAAGCTGCCCTGTTCAGGCTACATTTTGACCACAGTTGAGGGACCTGAAAAAGCAGCCCTCCCTGGATTATGCATTGCAGGACCAATGTACCTTCAAATGGTTTTGAAAAACGTGTGTCTAAGGGAAAGAAGAACAAGGCCTGGATCAGAATTGCATTCCCAGAATATTTTATGATTATTTTGAGAGATACATTCAGAGATGGGCAGCAGGAAAGATCCAAGACCACTCAGAAAATCGGCATGTGTTATGATAACCTATGGTGCAATGTGTGGCTAATTTATACTTTTAACAATTCCAAGAACTATCAGAACAAAACGTGGTTTTTACTTCACTAGCTGTGTGTCGTTTTGTTGCCTTATAAATATACAAATCTCTATCTCCAGGTTCATTAAGTCATTGAAATGTATAAAATCAAGCCTGGTACAATGGGTTGATTGGTTAATCCTCCTCCTGGAAGTAGACGGATCCCATTTGAGTCCTGGTTTATGTCCTGGCTGCTGCTCTTCCCTTCAAGCTCCTTGCTTGTGACCTGGAAAAGCAGTGAAGGATGCCTTAAGCCTTGGGATGGTGCACCTGCATGGGAGACCCGGAAGAAACTCCCAGCTCCTGGCTTTGAATTGGCTTATCTCTGGTTGTTGTGACCATTTGGGTACTGAACAAGTAGATGGAAGATCCTCTCTGTCTCTCCTCTGTTTAAAATTGCCTTTCCAGTAAAAAATAAGTAAATCTTTTTTTAAGTTTTCAAAGCATGGTTGTCACTCCCACTACCATTCTATACTTGATACCATGACAGATCCAAGCGGGTGCAGAGATGGTTAATACGGAAGCCTCACCTCTAACTGCCTGCTTTGAATATTCAATTAGACCCTTCTATGGACGCTAACCCCATGCCTCACATAGTAAAAAAGGATGGCCCCAAACGTTGTTCATTGCAGCTGTTCCTCCTGACTTCACCTTCATTCCTTTTTGTGTGATATTTGCTTTGCGTGCAGATAATCTCCTTTCTCTTGAATTTTTCTTGTGTGCAGACGTGAACCTGGACCAAGCCTATCCAGGGAACACCTTAAACAAAGCCAGTAAGAGTTCAGAGTTTCTGTAAGAATCTTAGCTGCTGTGTTAATGCTTACTGTGCCAGTAGTCAGACTGAAAGCTATAAAAAACGAAAATGCTCTATTCTGCTCACCTTGCAGTTGTTTTCTACTTGTTTTCCTTCTGTCCATTCCAGTTGTCTTTTATACTTTGCTCAGGGTTTATACTTACCTATTGGAAAGTTTGTTAGCCATTCCTAAAGCAGAATTTCCTTCTCATTTTTTGGAAATATTTAATTTCACTTTTCCTGTTTTCCAAAGTGTGCTTATGTTCCCTATCCTGCCCCATCTTGTCGCATCTTTTCTCCCTCTCCTCCCGAAAAGTGCAAAGAAACCAAAACCGAAAACATTCATATCTTCCATATTTCTCATGTTAACATGTTAACCCATTTCAGCTGAGCTTTTTTTTTTTTGGATTGATTCATTTATTTTTATTGGAAAGACAGATTGGCAAGAAGGAGAGACAGAGATAAAAGATTTTCCATCCACTGGTTCACTCACCAAATGGCTGCAATTGCTGGAGCTGAGCCAACCTGATGCCAGGAGCCAGGAGCTTCTGGGTCTCCCATGTGCAGGTTCAGGGCCCCAAGGCTTAGGGCTATCCTCCAGTGTTTCCCCAGGCTGCAGGCAGAGGGTGGAAGGGAAACGGAGCAGCTGAGATATGTACCAGTGCCCAGATGAGGATTTATCCACTGAGCCATCGTGCCATCCCTTCAGTTTAGTTTTTATCTTCAAACAATCAGTGTAGTCTAGATGGTAGAGAGGTGAATGTTTTCAGTGAAATTTTGCTTTGTATGTAGTGAACTTTTTCCTTGAGTTCAGCAATGAGTACTGCTCTGTCTGGAGTCAGCTTTCACCATGGCTTTCCTGTGGCAGTGGCTCGTGGTATTTTTTCGTAACTCTGATTATTCATGTTGCCTAGCCTCAGATGTAGAATATAAGTTTATTGTGCAAATATGATTTTATTGTGAAATTCTCATAAGATGCTTCTTCCTGAATGACCTTGTCCATGATCAAGGCGTCAGGTACCACCTATTAGCTGATAACTATGCATTTATTTGCATACAGATTATCTGAATTTCACATACATCTTAATAGCCTTCCAACATTTGTCCATAGAACTCTAAAGATACCCAAGTCATGTTCCCCTCTGAGATTTTGAAATCATCTGGCCCAAATGAGATAATTTTCCAGATCCTCTCTCATGGCTGCCTTTTTTTATTTTTTAAATTCTTTCCATGTTCAATATAACTGTAGGAGTTTCCTTGAGTTCCTTCCATCTGATTTCACTTATTCAGTAACCAGTTTGTACCACGTTCTGGTTTCTTTTTCCCCTTTCCACTTCTGCTTTATGAGGCAAGTGAGTTTTGAGCTTAAACATTAACTATATGTTGAAGATAGTCGTGTCCAGACATTAGGTCCTCTAATATAACCTTTAGTGTATTAGATATAAATTGACTAGCTGTTCTGTTAAATCAGCTAATCCCTTTGCTTTTTGCTTGCTTTGGAGTACTATCTTTTGTTGTTGTTGTTGTTTCTTCCAAGATAGTGGTTTAAAACTTAGGAGTAATTTGGCTATGCCCTGTTTTGGTATGGTCAGTTTTCAAGTTCTGGACCCTTTGCTTCATATTGTTTCCTAAAATGGTATATGTAGGTGTTCCTGTCACCACAAGAGCTGTAACAGACAGATGATATGGAATCATGATTAGGCTTTCTTCAAATGAACATAACAGGGTACAAATGTACATAGGTATGATTCTAAATATAACTGTGCATTTTAAAAACCTATAATTTGTTCTCCATATCAAATGTAATTTTGTAACTCATTTCTTTTTAACGTTTTATTTTAGTTATATAAAGGAGGAAAATTTAATATGCTTCATATATATATAGATTTTTTTCATATATGTGGTTTTAAGAGCATAATACTTGCTACCTTACTCTCCCTTCCTCCCTTGCTCCCACTGGTAGTTCATGTCCATGCAAGAAAGGGATCCTTGTAAATATAAATTTTGTATTCAGACCATTAAGTGCAAATTCTATTCATCATTTGTTCAAGAAAATATGTGTTGAGCATTTGCTGTATGCCATTTTTAAACATTGTTAATTTTTTAATGTATATTCTTTGATACAGAGAGAGAGAGGGTGTGAGAGAGATTCACTTTGAAGTACCTCAATAGTCAGAACTGCGTCAGACTGAGGGCAGGGATATCTGGGTCTGCCATGTGGGTGGCAGGAGCTAAAGTGCTCTCGTTGTTGCTGCCTTTCAGGCACATTAGCCAGAAGCTGGATTGGAAGCCAAGCAGCTGGTAGGGGCTGGCAGCATCTCAAAAGGTGATTTACCCCATTGAGTCACAGTGCCTACCACCACGTCATGGTCAAGTTTTTTTTTTTTTTTTAAGACATTTGGTTATAGAAGAAGTTGATACCTCCTTTCTTTGTGGAGGGGTTCACATTCTGTTGCAAAGAGAATAGAGGTAAATGGGGAAATGGAGGAGGGACAAAGAAACAAGCATGTAAGGAGGAGAATATACGGTGCCAGTTGAGCAGTTGTGAGTTTGTGGTTTTACATGAGTTAATTATATGGTAATTTACATAGTCCCAACTGACAGGCGTGTTTGTGAGACCCAAGACAGAAAGGAACAGTACGTTCATGGTATAGGAAAGTGGCTCTGACAAGTAGGAGATTTCAAAAGTTGATAGGTCCATCGAGTTTGGGAGTGGGGTTGTTTACATCTTTTGGGGGATACTGGTAGAGGCTTAATGGTTGACTCTTTGGGAGAACAAATAATTAAAGGTAGTGGATTGCAGTGTTTACTGATTTCCCTGTTGTAGATAGTCCCACCATGGCCAATTTCAAGCTATTAGTAGGCAACCTTCTTTCAAACATCCCCACAAATTTGACAGCCAGCCAACATGACTTGGTATAAACCCTCTCCGGCACATCTCTAAGGTAGGGTTTTACAGGCCACTTCTAACAATTTTATGCATTTTTTAATGAGAAAGAAAATCATTATATTAGAAAAATGATATGGTCAGGTTTATGCTCTAACAGAATCAATCTGGTTCTTGGATTGAGGGCATTAATTCATGTTCATATTAGCATTCACCTGCAAGCTCATAAATTATTTATGTAGTGCTGGCTTTTTCCTTGCTTTAGATTATTTTGCTATTTGGCAATATTCAAAAGCCTAAAATATTCCATAAAACAGCATTTCTCTGTTTTGTTAGAAAAATCACAAGATTTTTATTCTTTCTTGCATTTAAATAGTTTGAACTGGAAAAAGTTTGCCTTTTTTTTTTGATGTATGTTTTCATTTCTCATCTCTTTTTTCAGGTCCCTTATGTTGAATTTTGGCTATCAGCCAAAATAGCTGTTTGCTTGCTTTTAAATTGCAGAGGTAAGGAAAATGAACACTTATAACTAGCTCTGTTAGCAAAACTGATAGCATAATGAGAAGTAAGAAGACTCTGATTTGAGAAAAATTGAGCAAGCATATTTCTTTGCAGATATGAACAGTGATGCATCAGGATAAAACAAAACGTAGTTGCAATTATGACTAGATGTGGAGAATATGAATAATTGTAAAAAAAAATTTAAGAGGCAGGAGAGAAAAACAGAAGAGAAAAGATAAGAGAGCATGCGAGCGGGGCCCGGCGCGGTGGCGCAAGTGGTTAAGAGAGCGTGTGAGCATAAGGGTCGCAAGAGAGAGAGGGTGCAGGTGAGCACAAGGGTCGCAAGGATTCCCGTCCTATGATTCACTCTCCAGCACCTGTAACAGTTGGATCTAGGTTAGGCTGAAGCTGGAAGCTGGGAACTTCGCCCAGGAATCCTGTGAGGGTGGCAGAGACCTCAATACTGAAGCATCTCTGTTGCTCTTTGCCCACGCAAGTATGGATTAGCAGGAAGCTGGAAATGAGTGAGCAACCAAGAAAAGCCTAGTCTGTTTGACAGTGGAATGCAGATCTCCTAATTGACTTGGTACCTAGTCTGGATGCCCACGCCTTATTATGCACAAAAGATTAACATTTGATAAGGCTCTGATTTTAAATCAAATCAAATAAATTATGTTCATATAAAACATGATGGTGAATATTTGAGGGATATTGAAACAGTTCGAAAATGTCAGTATTTGTATCTGAGTGCAACAGAAATTGATTTGAAAACATCAACCAAATTTAAGAGAAGTACTATTTTGAAAATTTGGTTAACTTTCAGAAAAAATTGTATCAGTTTTATGCTTTTTTGTTGATGATCAAGCTCAGATATTTAAGATATTATTGGACTAAATTATATTTAATCATATCAATGAGAATTTTAGTGAAACCAATTGATTTATACGCATGTCCATGATTGTTACAACATAAAATTATTTTTGTATTTTGAAAATAAGAATTAGTAAATTTAGGAGACATGCCTAAGAAAACTGTAATGAAATGATTAGTGTTAATTTTGGACTTTTTTCCCTCCATAAAGTACATCCAGTTGTGAGGATACGGATAAGTCCACTCATTGCCTCATTCAGTGTGAATTATTTTGAGGAGTAACCGCCATGGATAGACTCTTGGGCTGATCCACAAATCATATACTCTGTTGGTAAGCTGAGTCTCATGATGTACATAAGGATCTCTGATTGCACGTTGTTAGGGTTTTATAGTCCTGCAGCAGCAGTCACAGGTCCAACATTCTGCTATTTAAGTGTATCATGGCATTATAGGTATAAGCCATGGTAGAAAACTTAGTATCAGATTGTAAAGGTATTTTTAATAGTTTCATTTGTTAATTTTCCTATTATTCAAGAGATGCATTCTACAGTGTAAATTACCTTATATCAGAGAGAACAAATGATATTTGTCCATTTGGGATTGGCTTATTTCACTGATCATAATGGTCTTTAGTTGGGATCATTTTATTGCAAATGGCAGAATTTCATTCTTTTTAGTGTGAGTAATCTATGGAGATGAAGCACGGTTCTTTTATCCATGCTTCTTTCAATGGGCATCTGAATTGTTTCCATGTCTTCACTTTTGTGGATTGTTTTATGTTAAAAATATAGGGTTTCAGGTTACTTCCTCATGTCGGTAACGCCCACGTGTCCCATACCCCGAGCCAAGCGGAGGGACTAGGGTTACAAAACAGACAACACACAGTGGGTCATCCTTGTGAAGAGAATGCCAATTTATTCAAAGTCACCCCACATCTTTTATAGTCTGCTTTGCTCCTCCCAGTATTTTCCCAATGCTAAAGGAATACCTAAGCTCCCCCACGGGGGAAGCAGGGAAGAGGGAACTTGCTGTCAAGCCAGGGGTTAAATGTATCAGGCCAAGATTGCCCATCCTGTTACACCTTGAGAAACAAGCTAAGCTGTGGAGTTAACCCTTGGGAGACGGGGCCTACATCCTCATATGCTGATCTTGCTTCCTTTGTATATATTCCCATGAGTGGGATAGCTGGGTCATATGGCAGATCAATTTCAGTTGTCTGAGAACTATACTGACTTCCATACTGGCTGCCCTAGCCTACACTTTCACCAATAATAAAGTAGGGTACCTTTCCCCACACTTCCATGTCAGCGGGTATTGTTAGTAGAGTTTCAAATGTGGTATGTTTTTTGCTTGTATTTCCCTAAGGAGTATGAGCAATTTTTTCATGTCTGTTAGCCATTTGAATCTGTTCTTTTGAAAGATCCGTGCTCGTTTCCTTTGTCCATGTATTAACAGTGTTGCTTCTTTTGCTGCCATTGAGTTTCTGAAGTTCCTTGTAAATCCTGGATATCAGTCCCCGCTGTTATGTAGTATGCATAGAATTTCTTCCATTCTGTTGGTTTCTTCTTTCCTTTGTTGATCGTTTCCTTTGCTGCACAAAAGCTTCTGAGTTTTATGTAGCCTACTTGTTTTTTGTCTGACTGCTTGTGCTTTTGGTAGCTTTCCTAAGTTGTGCTTATGCCCCACTCTTGCAGAGTACTTTCTATGGTTTTCTCTAATTGTTTGATGATTTCTGGTTGCAGATTTAAGTTCTTACCCATTTAGAGCTTATTTCATTTAAGGTGTGAGGTGGGTGGGTCTTCTTGCTTGCTACTCCAAGTGAATATCCAGTTATCCCAACAGCATTTGTTGACTAGAGCAATCTTTTCTCCTGGGTTGTTTTCACTTCTCTTGCAAGAGATTAATTGGCTGTACATGTATGGGCTCCTTTTGAGGTTTCTGTACTGTTCCAGTGATCCTCTCTTTTTCTGTATCAGTACCAGAATGTATTGATGACCACTGCCCTGTGGTAAACCTTGAAATATGGAATTGTAATCTCTTTAGCTTTATTTTTATTCTTTGAGATAGCTTTGGCTATTCAATATCTGTTGTATTTTGAGATGTGTTTTGAGATCAATTTTGGTGTGAGATGAATTTTCTGTGAAGAATGTTGTTGGAATTTTGAGCAAGATTACATTGAATCTGTATATTTCTTTTTGTACTATGGGCATTTTGATGACTTTGATTCTACTGATTCAGAAATATGGTAAATTTCTTAATCTTTAATGTCTTCAGTTTCTTTAATTTTTTTGTGAATCTTTCATCAAAGAGGTCCTCCATGTCTTTGGTTAGGTTTACTCCAAATTGTTTAAAATATTTCAAATAATATTTTTAAAAGGAATTATTCTTACATGTTCTTTCTTGTTTTGTATATTAAGGCCATTGATTTATGTTTGTTTATTTGTGTACCCTGCTACATTGCCAAACTCTCTTATGAGTTCCAATAGTCTGTTTATTATATTGAATTACCTTAAGTTCCTTTTCTTCTGTGTTAACATTAGTGAGGACTACCAATATGATACTGAACAGCAGTGGTGAAAATGGACTTTCTTGTGTCATTCCAGATCTTAGTGGAAAAGCTTGCAATCTTTTTTTGTTCAGTATGGTGTTGGTGCTGGTTTTTTTGTGTATTGCTTTGATTATGTTGTAGAATGCTCCTTCAATGCCTATTTTGCTTAGGGTTTTTATCATGAAGTGGTTTGGATTTTATTAAATGCTTTCTCTGTGTCTGTTGAGAGAATCATTTGATTCTTTTTATTCTCCATTTGATGTGCATTTTTATTGACTTGTATATGTTAAACCATTTCTGCATGCCAGGGATAAATGCCACTTGGTCTGGGAGAATTATTTGTCTAATGTATTGTTGGATCCTGTTGGCTAGTATTTTGTTGAGAATGTTTACATGTATGTTTACCAGGGGTGTTGGTCTGTAGTTCTCTTATTCCATTGTGTCTCTATTTGGTTTTTGTAAGGAGGTGATGAAGGATTGCTTCCCTTCCTACTGTTTTGAATAGCTTGTAGACGATTGGTGTAAGCTATATTTGAAACCTTTGGTGGAATTCACCCATGGAACCATTCAGCCCTGGCTTTTTGTTTAGAGGGATTTGATTCCTGATTCAATCCTTGTCCTAAACATAAGTCAGTTAGGATTTTTGCTTACCTCATGAATCAGTTTTGGTAAACTGAATGTGTCTAGAAACCTATCCATTTCTAGTAGTCTTCTATTTGTTGGTGTATAAGTTCTTGTGATATTCCTGATTTTTCCATGTATGTCCGAGGTATCCAGTTTTCTTCTTTGATGCTATTGATTTGTGTCTTCTCCCTCTTTTGTTTGTTTGTTTGTTTGTTAAGTTGGTGACTGGTTTGTCTATTTTGTTGATTTTTTTCAAAGAAGCAGGTCTTCATTCATCTCATTAGTGTTCTTTTGGTCTCTATTTGATTTATTCTTTTTATGCTAGTCTTGGGACATTTTTGTAAAGCTTTTTCAGACTAAGTTCATCTATTTGGTGTCTTTCTAATTTCTTGTGATGTTTGTTGCAGTGAACTTTTTGCTTAATAGTGAGTTAGCAATTGTTGATATGTTGTTTGGATTTCTTCATTCATTTCAAGTAAAATTTTAACTTTCTCTTTGATTTATTCTGTAACCCATTTTTCATTAGCATGTTATTCAGATTCCAAGTATTTGCATATTTTCTATGCTATTTTGATTTGTTGGTCTCCAGTTTCACTCAGTTATGGTCTGAGAAAATGCTGATATGATTTCTTTTTCTTTTTTTTTTAATTTGCTGAGATTTGTTCTTTGGCTATAATGTGATAAATTCTGGAAAAGGTTCTGTGTACTGGTGAAAAAGAGAATTCTGTGTATGTAGGATGAAAAGTTCTGTAGATATCAATTAAACCTTTTATTCTGTTTTCTGGAGAAGGTCTGTTTCTTTTAGAGTTTTTGTCTCATTGATCTTCCCTTTCAAGTCATTGAAGACTTACAGCCTCTCATTATTGTATCAGAGTCAATATCTCCTTTTAAATCCATCAAAATGTTTTCACGTTTCTTAAAGCCCTGGTATTTGATGTACATGCATTTATTATTGTTTCCTCTTGTTGAATGGATTATTATATGGTATCCTTCTTCCTGTCTTTTAATGCTTTTTCACATTGAAGTCTGTATTTTCTGATGTTAGAATGGCTCGACCAGCTGTTTTCCATTAGCCTCTAATATCATTTTCCATCCTTTTAGTGTCAGTCTCTGCATTGTCTTTCTTGGTGAACTGTGTTGCTTGAAAGCAACAGATAGATGGAGCCTGTTTTTGATCCACTCTGCTAATCTGTCTTTTGATTGATGAGCTTAAGCGATTTGTTTCCATGGTTAATATGGAACATTGTCCTGGATACACGACAACTTAAGTAGAACAACAAATATACCAGTATGATAACCTCAGAATAAATACTACATGTTTGAAATAGTTGCAGAATTGAAAAGTTGGGACTGAATGGGTTAAAGAAGACAAAATATTTTATCGCTAATAGATCAGAAATAGAGTGGGTCCTATAAAAATCTAACACAGGGAAAGTGAAAATGGTTCCTCTAAGAAAGTGTAAGTCATTGAGAAGGGACTATCTAGAAACTCAAAGATTGGAACACCTGTACAAAGTGTTTACAAAAACCTGCACAGGCAACAAATGATTTTTATATGTGATCCCATGTGTCATAATCACTACAGATGGAGATACTGGTTTTTCTGTAAGACATTGCTGACCTTAGTGAATGAATGAAATTAGGTCTTCAAAGTAGCTAAGCAGAACATAGCCCGGGATCAGTTCTGAACTTTGGCTCAATATTACCTCATGGCAGAATGTCTCCTTAGGGAATTGTCCACTTTATGGGGAACATGGTAGATGAAATTTGAACTATGAACTGAGAACTGATTGAATTTTTAATGTCATACCCTGCTCTCCTCCCATAAATGCCTCTCCCCACCCCCACCCCCACCCCCCATAAATCAAGAGCAGGTAAACTTGTCTGGAACAGAAACAAAAGGTAACTAGAAAGGAGCTACTCAGTTGCAGCAAGTAATGTTAACTATTACATGAACTATAGAAGGAAAGGTACCAATTTAAGAAGTAGACTAAAAGGTTCAGAAACTCAAGTAGCCTTTCTAAATGGTGAAGAGGAAAAACTGGAGGGAATTAAATATTGCCACTTCAAAAATTAAATTCAAAAGCATCCAAATCAGTTTGTTATTAGACATTGTTATGGGTAAATTAGAAATAACCCTTTCTAGACAGGAGGATCTT